TAAATTTGAAAGGCCATTTATGTGTCACGAATTGTTGTAAGTTGTAGATTAGCATCGGATATGTTATAAGAATTTGAAGTCGAGGGATTTGTCAGGAGAGCAAGTCACAAAGTCTATGTATTCGAATGGAAACCAGTCACACACCGTCGAAATCAATGATCAGCTGATCATCGTCAGACTGCATCTGCAAGTATTTATTAGACTCTCGCGTATCCACGAGTGCGCACGTAGACGCTGACAAGGAGACAAGGACAAGGACGACTATGCGCGATGGTCAATTTCGCGCGCTTTTCAATGATATTCTCCCGTGTCTCGCCTCCACGTGACAGCTGTCGGCGCTTTTCCCGCTTTTTACTCACTGCCCCCGTATCGATTGGTATTGGCTTTCACGAAGACGAGGAAGGCAGCCAGCACGACCATGACACGTACCGGATCATATTTCTCGATCTTCGCCTCTATTCATCTAGCGCCAATAATTTATCACTCGACCTATAACGGAATTATGGGAAGAAGTACGGTAACAACAGAGCTTTTATAATAACGAGTAAAATAACGTGATGATACCAAAGACTCGCGTTATGTGAATTGCCATACGATGACGATTGACCAATAGTTGTCGGTTGGCTACTTGTAACGAGCACTTCTATCTTTTAGGAAACAAATCGTCGTTTCTACGCTGACAGAGCGGTAGAGTAATTTTTCATTTGTTAAGATTATTCAAGCAAAGCATCGACGTCGCTGACCTTTGCAAGCAAAAATTTTAAACAAATCGTGCTATCATAAAGCTTAATATTGTCATTTAGATTTATGTAAATGTGTCTGTCCAGCGATTCATTTATCAGGATCGCGTATTTAACTTTAATCACGCTAACGTTCGTACATTAACAGAATAATCCGGAACTTCATTAAGCCCATGGAAAAGTGAAGATGAAACAGTGAGGCCTGGGCCCTTCGCTATCCACTTCGCTCGGCATCCAATCAAACTTATAAATACCAAGAAATTCCCTCGAGCTCTTTACGTCTTTCTCCCTGGCCCCTTCCTACAAGTCCTACCACGATTATCCCGAACACGACAGTCTCGAATACGAGACTCCACTTACGAAATTGCGAACGACTGGAGCTGCTGATGCTCGGGGGGGGGGGGGGGGGGCTACCTCCTCGAGTCCACTTCGCGTGAGTTACGCGCAGGCGAGAAAAATATAACTATCGCGGCCACTTTGTTTCCCCGTTTGTTACGCGACGGCGCAACAACGGCCGCACACGTGTCAGTTTAACAACAAAGCTCACTGGGTGGGTTCAGCGGCCGGATTCCTCCGGTGCCTCCGGCATCTCCCGCTGAGCCAAGTGCAGACTCTCTAAGCTGTACTTCACCCGTTGTTGACATCTTATTTCTGCGATTTGTGATTTGCACTTTGCATACGCGATTACATTAGGCGAACATTGGGTTCCTTAATCGGGCCTGACTATACCTTCGTCACATTAGCCTGGATTTTTATGGATTTTTATTTATGGGCACGCGAGGCGAATGGACTATTATTTCAATTGGTGTTCGTGAAATATTATTTATTAATTAGGTTGCTGATATTTTTCGTTTCAACATCGCTGTCCAAGTGCTATATTTATATTTCCTTAGATTAATTGATAATACTTTACTAACCAACCTCGGGATACGTGTACCACATCTTGAAAATAATCAGTTTTATGCGCATCGTTATTTTAATTCGTTGCGACTTTAATAGTAAGGTATAATGGTATAATGAATTTATTGGCGCATTAAAATATCGCACTAATTTAAAATGGAATTAATCGTTATAAAATATTATCTAAAATTTGTCTCGTGTCTCAAAGACTTATCATAGATTTCCTAAAACGTTCTTTTTGACAATTATGATAAATAAACGGATACGTAATGAAACTGCATGACTTTTAGATTTGTCTAAAATTATAAATAATTAAGAATTAACTTTGTGTTTTAAAAAAGTTCGCTTCGAGACATGAATTACTAAATACAGCGTCCAATTATCATGGACTATGCGAAGTTGGATAATAATGAGTTATTAATAGTTTATTATTGCCAATTGACAAGTAGTTTAGCCAAAAGTATATAAAACATTTCGTCAAAAGTTTCATCGTATTTTACAAAGAACGACGATTTAATTGTAAAATTGTATACCGTAATAAATTGCAATTACGATTAAATTTCACTTGCGACATATATAACATCTCTATACGTACATAGGCGTAAAATAAATCACGGATCAAGATTCAATAAATAGTGTTTTAAGCAAATGCCTAATATCACTATATTATTTCAGAGATCTTCATAGCGAAACCGCAGCTCGCGTTGCATCGTCGGCAAATGAAAATTTACTATGAAAACAATGACGCATGAGAGTGTATTTCCACTTCACTATTGCTTGTAATAAACTCCTGCCGGCTCGCTATTTACGAAACTCTTAAAAAAAAACATAATAATAATAATAATAATAATAATAATAATAATAATAATAAACGGCACACGCACACGCACACTCACACGCACACGCACACGCACACGCGCACATACACACGCAGACTCACGCACATACGCGCACAGATACACACACACGCGAAGATAATAACGAAATCGAATATTTTTACACATACGTTTACGTTTGTTTTTACAATTATATTTTGCTATAAAAAATCTGTTTGATATGAATTCGAAGGTGAATTAAAAGTAACTCGAAGAAATTTTAGAGAAATGTATAACTGGAGAAAAGTTACACAGTACTTAAAATCTATTTCACTACAATGAAGTTTTAATACAGAAAATTATTGCAGCCTCGAATCATTCATTCGCTAATTTTTCTAAATTGGCGTGCATAATTGTAAAATCTTATTATTTCGTAAAGATTTATCGCAAACGATTCTTATTAAAAACCTTAAGATTTGACGAGCTTTCGGTGCTTACGAATTTCAATAATAATAATAATAATAATAATAATAATAATAATAATAAACGGGGGAAAAAGTAGTCGAGTAATAAAGAGGCGAGTGGCGCAATTAAAGCCATGCTAATTTATCCTTATACGTGCAATTGTCATAGGGAAAATGAGAAAGGCCCAAGGATTTTCGTGGAAGCGAAAGAAAGCCTCCAGCTCGCGAGGCCGTCCGTCAGGATTGCTCAAGTTTTTCACCTCGCGAGGCTGCTCTCGACGCGCCACCGTTCCTCTCTCGCGAAGCCGAGACCTCCCCCCCCCCACCTCCACCTCTCGACCATCTCTCCATCAAGCGGCCGGGAGTGTACGAACTTTCGCTTTCACTCCGGGTGTATATACGAGCAACGATTCGCGACTCCCGCGAAAATTGACACTCTCTGCGCCTATAATTACGAGCTCCTAAATTATTAAAGCAATGAATAGTTACGACGCGCAAACTCTATTGTTTCGAGGTGATGTGCCGCTCACCCCCCCCCCCCCCCCTCTCTCTCTCTCTCTTTCTCTAAACTGCTCGTGGAGCTGCAATTTGCCGCGTAAAAATTCTCGTCCCCTTTCCGCCCTGGATCTTACCGGCTTCACGTGGGTTTGACGGTGAAGGAAAGGCGATCGGTCGCTTGCGCTTATCAATTAATTTTATCGTTGGGCAGTCCCGATGTGAAAAATACATGCGATCCTGCTCACAGGAACACTGCCCGGATTTTTCAGAGCGGATTTTCCCATACGTTTAACTTTACACACCTGCTCCATCAACCCACCGGCTATTAAAGTCCGACCCATTGAACATAATTATATTATTAGACATTAATTTGGGAAAGACATTAGTGAAAACATTTAGAATACAATTACTACAACGTTTATTTTTGTTCTTATTTTCTTTGTTGTTCTTTTTCTTTTTGTTTTATTGCTATTAGTGTTATTGTTTGTTTTTTTTTTTTTTTTTTTTTTTTTTTTTTTTTTTTTGTAATTTTTGTTTGTTTTATTTATTTTTTATATGTAACTAACGCACTCGCATACTGTTTAAGTGAACGAACCATACTCCTTCCACGTTCGTTCACTTAAACATTAAGCAAAAATATAATAAATTGGAAGCCCAAGTCGCAGCACCGTGGAATAAATTTTTAATCCTACTAACCCTAAAGCACAACGCTCTCTACAATTACAATGTAATGATCTCTATACGCGAAACCGTAAAATCTAATATTTATTTAAATAACATGCAGTTAAGGAATAATAATGCGACTACGAAATTAGTCGAATACTATTTTCAAATCATGAACAATTCATATATTACAGATCCGTATTCAACTTTTACCACTCCTCTATATTATTCACGTATTACGAGATATCCCAATGTTTTCTTACAATTAAAAATTATAATTATGTAAAAACAGTTTTGTCAAGGGTGCTGATTGAAAATTACTTTATTAGATAAATAAATCGATTCTTTTACTTTGAATTGGGAAAATTTGCCTTTACAATGACAAGATAAAGCATCTCCTTACCCGATAACTAAATAAAGCCCATTGGTTGCAGAGAGTCGTCGACGATTGTGCACGAGAGAACGAAGAACCTAGGAAACGACACAGTAGAGTAAGACGCGGCAACATCGGTTCACTTGCATGGAAGTACCCAGGGCGAACGAGATAAAGGGCAACGCGCGGTTAGAAGGAGGAGGCGAACGAGGACGAAGAAGAGAAGGAGGAGGAGAAGAAGAACGCGGCCCACGGTGGCTCCACGACTAACGTCGAGTCCAAGAGTTACGACGAGGGGGGAAAGGTGGGGGCGATCGAACGATGTCGAGCGTCGCGGAGAGTCCTGACGAAATGGCCCTGCAGTCGCACTACTCGCTCAGATGGAACAATCACCAAACGCATATATTGCAGCCCTTCGAGGCGTTGCTGCACGCCGAGATACTCGTCGACGTGACTCTCGTTTGCGCCGAGGAGGAGAAGGAGGAGGAGGAGGAGGAGGAGGAGGAGGAAGACGAGGACGAAGAAGAGAAGGAGGAGGAGAAGAAGAACGCGGCCCACGGTGGCTCCACGACTAACGTCGAGTCCAAGAGTTACGACGAGGGGGGAAAGGTGGGGGCGATCGAACGATGTCGAGCGTCGCGGAGAGTCCTGACGAAATGGCCCTGCAGTCGCACTACTCGCTCAGATGGAACAATCACCAAACGCATATATTGCAGGCCTTCGAGGCGTTGCTGCACGCCGAGATACTCGTCGACGTGACTCTCGTTTGCGCCGAGACAAGCCTTAGGGCCCATAAAGTCGTGCTCAGTGTCTGCAGGTGAGTCTGCGTCGATACACATATACTCAAATGTAAATATCATCACTTTTCCCCTCCTCCTCTTCCTTCTCCTCCTCCTACTACTCCTCCTCCTCATTTCCAATCTTCCTTCTCCCCCGTCCTTCATACATCCCCCCATGCCACCCTCACTATACTACCTATAAATGTTTTTTACTTCCAATGGGAATGGTTGTTCAAACTTTATTGCCTGATTCTCAGCTTTTCGGATTATAATTCAGTGACAAAAATCATTCCAAATAGTCATAGAGTCCAAATAATAAGTGAATATAATTTTAATAATAATCTTACAGTCCATTTTTCGAGCGGATCTTCGCCGAACATCCATGTAAGCATCCTGTGATCGTACTGAAGGACTTTCCGGGCCGAGAAATCGCTGCCCTCATTGACTTTATGTATCGCGGTGAGGTGCGCGTCGGAAGGGAGGATTTGTCCGGCTTAATGCACGCCGCCGAGAGCCTCCAGATCCGGGGGCTGGCATCCTCGGAGCCGCGACCGGCGAGTCCACCCTCGACGCCCAACACCGACTTACTTATGGGCGAGCCCTCGACGCCCGAAGGGGCGCGGCAAATGCTTCTTGATGGTCCCACCCCCGATGAAGACGACGAGAACGTCTCGGAGATCGTGACACGTACCGCGACGCCCTTGCCAATTTTACCGAGAGACCTGAGGCCCCAAGCCGCCCAGGCCGCCCAAGCCGTCGGGCAGACGAGCTTCGGTCTCCGCGAGCTCAGAGAGACCTGCGGCTCGCCTCTCATGCCCAGACGAAAGCAGGCCAGGCCCAGGCGGAGGTCGGGTGAGCTCGTGCCCCAAGACCTCAGTCGACCGCATCCCCCGGCCAGCCTCAGCCCGCCAAGCACGGGCCTCAACCTCAGCAACAATCACCAGACTCCTCAGCAGCACCAGCACCAGCACCACCATCAGCAACAGTCCCAGTCGCAACAGCAACCACAACCGTCGCGGTCCCGGACACCGAGCCATCAGGAGGACATAGCCGAGAACCTCTCGATGAAGAGGGAACCGAAGCGCTCCCTCTCCCCCGCCACCTTGAACGAACGGCTCGTCAAATCCGAGAGCGAGGCCGCGAGCAGTCCCCGCGGCTCGCCCCTCACCGGTACCAGTCTCCATCCGGACGCCTCATTCTCGGACCTCCCAGCCGCGGGTCTCACCGCCATGTCGGCCCTGGCTCTCACGCCATCCCATCACCACGGAAGCGAGTACCTGACGAGCCTCGGGCAGTTCGCCGCCCAGTGGTTACCCCCGAGTCAGTCGGGTCAATCGGGCCAGACCCGCGACGGGAGCCCCCTCGGTAAGCCACCCGGGGGCTTCCCCTACCAACAGAGCGAGTCGCCCCTCGCACCCAGGAGCGCCTTCCCCATGGACGGGATGGCGCCCCTCGGTGCGGCGGCGAGCCTCTTCCCTCACGGTGGGCCCCTCGAGCTCCACGACAGCTTCAAACCCGAGAGCTTTCACGGTCTCTTCGTCGGGGCGAGCCTCGGGCAGCAACAGCAGCAGCAACAGCAACAACAGCATCAGCAGCAACAACAACATCAGCAACAGCAGCAGAATCAGCAAAATCAGCAGCAGCAACATCAGCAGCAGCAGCAGCAAAATCAGCAGAATCAGCAGCAGCAGCAGCACCACCATCACCCGTCGAAGAAGCCAAAGAAGCACCGCTCGGACGGACTCCCCCGTCGCTGGAGCGAGCACGCGCGCGGCCTCGCGGTCTGCAGACCCAAAGGCCAGCATAGCGCTCCCCGGGGCGGGCCTCCGCGCTCCTGGACAAACGCGGACCTCACCGAGGCCCTAACCATGGTCTGGAACAAGAAGATGACAACCTCCCAGGCGAGCCGCGTCTACGGGATCCCCTACAATAGTCTTCTCATGTACGTGCGCGGCAAATACGGAAAAAGCCTGAAGCTCGAGCAGCTGAGGAGGGACTGCACCGCCGGCGAGGTCATGAACTCCCTCAACAACAACGTTAAGCCACTCGAGGGCCCGGGCCTGGGAATCGGACATCCTGGACACGGGCACCCGGTCCACCCATCGGACGCGGAGGCCAACTTTGCGCATCACCCCCTCCTTAGCGGCGGCCTCGCCCAAGGCTTCTTTCCGGACTTTGGGGGTTTCCCCGTGCCCGTGAACATGGTTCACCTGCTGCCACCGAGCGAGCAGAAGGGCTTCGAGGCGCCCGGCAAACCCCAAGGCAGCAACGGGCCGAGCAACGGCCATCAGAGCCTGCGCTCGGAGGAGCTGCTCCTGGGTACCAGGGCCAGGAGCAGGAGCAGGAGCCCCTCGCCTATCGACGTCTCCACGGGGACGGGGCTGCGGGAGGCGCTACTGCCGGGCGCTGCCCAGTCTGCGCCGCCGCTTCTCCAGCAGAACGGCTCGGACTGAGGGCTGAGGCGCGGACGGGTCGGGGGCCACCGGAGGCCCTCCGAGGACCTCGACGCTCCTCTCACAAGACTGAAATCGCACCGCCGGGGTAACACGCACGACGACCTTCTTACACCTGAAAGCTTGCTTTACTACTATTACTACTACTGATAAAAATAGCCTTACGCACATCTTTTACGCCGCCTTTATCATCGTAATTCTCATCGCCATCGTCAAGCTCCCTGCCCCTCCACACCTCCTCCCTAACATATTCCACTTTTTCTTCTTCTTCTTATTATTATTGTTGTTGTTGTTGTTGTTCTTACTGCTGCTGGTGGTGGTGTCGTTGTTGTTATTGTTATTGTTCTTATTATCATCGTAATCATTATAATTATCATTATCAATTGTTGTTGTTGTTGTTGTTATTATTATCGTCATCGTCATTATCGTCATTATTATTATATTACTTAAGTCTTTAATTATCATTAGAATCATCGTCACCGCCGTTATTATAACTATTATTATAAACATATACAATATAATAGAAACTAACAATAACAACAAGAGCAACACCAACAACAATAACAATGATGATGATGATGATGATGATGATGATGATGACGATGATGATGACGATGACTATGATAATGATGATGATAATGATAATGATTTTGATGATGATGATTATTATGATGATGATGATGATGATAATAATAAAAGTAGTAGTAACAATAAATGATGGCGACGATAATGATACTAATGATGATAAAAATGACGTGGACGACGACAATGATACTGATGGTAATGGTATTGATAGTAGTGACGATGATAATGATGAGAATGATGATAGAGACTATAATGATACAAATAATTATACTAATAATAATGAAGACAATAGTAATTAATAATAGTAATGATAAAGCAATAATAACGATAATAGTAAAAAAAAAATGGGTATAGCATTGTTAATAACAATCATAACAATAACAATGATGATAAACTGAATAATGATAACAGTGATAATGAATATCATTTTCAATGATATTATTATTATGACTACTATTCTCATTGTTATTATGTTTCTTATTATTATGATTGTCGTTGTTGTTGTTGTTGTTGTTGTTGTTGTTATTATTATTATTATTATTATTATTATTATTATTATTATTATCATTAGTACTATTATAATTATTGTCGTTGTAGTTATTATTGTAATTATTATTATTATTATTGTTGTTGTTGTTGTTGTTGTTGTTATTATTATTATTATTATTATTATTATTATTATTATTATTATTATTATTATTATTATTATTATTATTATTATTATTATTATTATTATTATTACTGTTACTATTATTACTATCATTCTAATTATTATTATTATTGTTATTGTTTTTATTGTCATTATCATTATCATTGATATTATTAATCATTGGTATGTACTATGAGTGACCTTCATTAATGCATTTTATTCTCTTTTTGTTCGACCCATCACCGCTCTTTTTTCAATCCTCTTCGAAATTTCCGTTCATTCCCGAAACTCTCCAAGTCGCGTAATACTCCGATTGGGTATTTTGCTGCTTGACGCATGTTGTCTTGTATCGCGCACAAATATATTTTATCTTTTTAACACGACGAATCATATTTCGTACGGAGGAGTTTTTTTAACATTTTATACGACTTTTGCGTCCATTCGCATCGAATTAATGCACGAGTGCAAGAGAATATAACGTCCGCAGCCAGAAGACTCGTTCGCAAGGATGTCGGAAAAATACATTTCTTTAAGCATTAATGCTATAATAATTAATCGAATCAGACACGTAAAAGTCACCGCTCGTTTCCTTTTATTGTATTATTAGATGAGTTTTTTGTTTCTTTTCTTTTCTTTTCATTATAGTCGGAAGCCTTTTTTTTTTTTTAGTCATACAAAGCTCACACACTCGCCTTGTTTCATCTCCGTCGACTGCACGATGTTGCAAATTATGGAAACAAGTTAAACTCCGAATTGCACAAGCTTTCATTCAATTCGACCAACGATTCTCTATTAAGATAATTGTCTCGGCTGTCGCGTTTTCTACTCATTTAACCGTTTAACTCGGGCAAATTATTTATTTTGATCAAATTATGCTATTCGTTATATAAAAGAAAAGCTTCGATTAATTCTTTTATCGAATCCTTAATCGAAATGATGGCTTGAGCGAACGAAGTTTTCCTCACCAATAACACAAACATGTAATTTACATACTACATACAAAGTATTCAAGCACACGCATAGACAGCTTCGTAATATTATGTGAAATCAGTTTCTGCTACACCGAAAGATCATTTACCAAATAATATATCCGATAAACTATCGAATCGACGAGGGTGCGATATAATCGAGACAGCGAGAATGAATGTGAAAGAATGTTAGAGAGAGAAAAGAGAGTGAACGTAAGAAAGCAAGCCATAGAAATAGAGAGGGGAAAAGAGGTGAAAGAGAGGGATAGAGAGAGGAATGGAAGCGGGGAAAACGCGCTACGCCTTATAAGTCGAGACTCGCGAAATGTTCCGATAAAGTATCGTTTGGTTTTCCGTTCCATCACGAATTAGAAGAGTTTCCATAGTTATTTCACTTCTTTGAATTTTTGGACTAAGCAATATTATATATTTAAATGTGTATAGACAATTTTTATCTTCTATTTTTTCTGAATTGTTATGTTATGTACACACATTTTATAAATGAACAACATATAGATCGATAGATCGATTAATATTATTTTCATTAATATCATTGATCATACAAAAATGATCATAATATTATTTACATAACTTAATTTACATAAATTAATTGGGTATTGTAACAATAGAATATTTACAAATTCACTTTACATTTTACTTAATTTTATATTTTACGTGCAATACATATTATCTCGAAAAATTAATGATTTTGAAATATTAAAAGACATTTTTGAATTATTTTATTTCTTAAATATTAAAAAAGATCTTCTTTTGTATTAATTGACAGTTAGGGGTGATCGATTCCGTTTTTTTCCTTCTTTTTTTTCTTTTTTTTCTTTCTTTTTTTCTTTTTTTTTCAAATGTATATTAAGCAAATATCTTTTTCAGCAGTGTGTAAACGGAAAAGAAAAAAATACTGGCAAACTACTTATCGTATTTTTTCTTTGTTTGACTGAGGGACTGGTGCAATAATGCCGCGGGCCAAGATAGAAAAACGTCTTGTACATACATACATGCGATTAAAATTATTGCGTTTTCTCCATTTGCGAATCTATTATAACTTCAAGGCAATTTTTTGTTTAGTTTTAACGATCAGGTGTGCACGTCGGTCAAACAATCTAATGGAAGAAATTTCGAAATCGAGGACTAATAAAATCATAAATATAAAAATGAAGAAGTACATAAGAAAATGAGAAAAAGAAAAATGTGAATTGACAAAGGCAAGAAGCTGTAAGATAACGAATGGCTTTATGCGTTTGTAAAAGAAGTCAGAATCACGAGAATTTCGGAAACTCCAGAGCGACAAGCTCATTCGTTGGTTTTCTCTGTAATAGGAAAATCATGAGCTTGCTTGAAGAAAATATTGTAAATTGCATTATAAATTAGAATTTTTGACAACAATATTTCAACATTCAGACGGAAGCGCAGGGTAACTAACACATCAGGGATAGCCACTGACAAATCTACGATAGATAAAAAAAAATAAAAATTACATATTAAACTATATAAATTAAAAATATTTCGCTAAAAGAAGAAAGAGGAATAGAGAAAGAGAGAGAGAGAGAGAGAGAGAGAGAGAGAGAGAGAGAGAGAGAGTAAAAAGCGCGTGCGATTATATTTCGTTTTTAAAAATGAAAGCATAAGAAAACAATAAGGGAAATAATAATCTTATAAAATACAAATGAGGTATAAACTAAAGTATGAACTTCTTTTTTTATTCTATTCTTTTTGTAATAAAGGACTAAGCGATGAAAAATAAAATGTTTAGTAGAAATAAGGAACAGAAACACAAAAGGCTGCTCCAAAACTAGAGAAAGAAAAATATTTAAATAAGTAATAAATGACAATTAGGAAATGCATATTTGTGTAAAAATATATGAGTTTTGAACATTTAATTAAAATACATAAAACTGTTAGTGGTAAAATGGATAGAAAGAAGGAAATAGGATGCGAAAAATTTATTGGTACAATAAAAGATTAATTTTTAGTGACCACACAGGCTTTTCGGGCCCTTTGAAAATATATGCTGTACAATACAAACTGATATTATTGAATATTAAGACGAATATAATCTGTGTGCCTGCGTGTGCGCGCTTTTGTGTGCATGTTTGTATGTATGCATATAAATAATTATTCTATATAGAGCGTGTTTCAACAGAGTTCACCAACTACTCTAATAACAGCACGTGTCGCACGCCTCTTGTCATTTTACTTTTTCAATGCTTTTTTTTCCATTTTTTGATTAAGTATAACATTTCATCTATATCGATTGATGTGATGAAATGCGTCAAAATTAAACTAAAATATACTTTATTTTTTTAAAAATTCCAGAAAAAATACATAATTTGTAATTATATCGTGAAATGTTCTTTACAGATTTACGATTGTTGATTGCATAAAAATAATAGTTTTTAAATTTTTTTCTTTTTACATAAAGTACTTATAATTTATTATTTAGGCTAACGATACCTTTTTAATTACATATAAAATGTCAAAATTTTTAAACATACTGAATAAGTGTATGAACCAATGAAAAAAAAATGAAACTTAATTTCCTATAGTGACGTTTGGCACAAATATAATAGAATATAGATTTCTCTTGCCATTTCCTTTACACTGGCTCGATGGCTAATTTCAGTACAAATCAATTGAGCCACTTCTACTTTTCAAAGTATGCTGGCGTGCGATTCACCTTTCGTCATAGAAGGAAAGCTAACGGGGAAGCAAAATAATAGAGAGAGAATGAGAGAGAGAGAGAGAGAGAGAGAGAGAGAGAGAGAGAGTGAGAGTGAGCGAGA